GTGGTGCATGTTCTTCTATTTGAGCATGTGTGGAGTCAACCCTCTTTTTGTGGCGCTGATAAACCTGTGAGGCTGGCCATAGTGGATTAGGTAGTGGAACCGTAGCTACTGATGGTGGAATAGGTGGATAAAATGAAGGAATAAATGACATCAGAAGAGAGACAGGTTGTGAGTTCTCCCCAAAACACCCCCTGAGGAGAACCACCCAAGAAAAAGAAAGTAGACTCAAAAAGTGTAACATCCATAGTGACAAACCTGTTCCCCGGCACTAGATCATAACAACAATACCCCTTTTGGTTTTGAGCATACCCAACGAAAACACATTTCTTGGCCTTAGGATTCAATTTCTTGCGATGGGGATCAAGAATGTGAACAAAGGAAACACACCCAAAGACTCTCAAAGGTATATGAAATATCTCCCCATCTGGAAAAAGCAAGCTGAAAGGTGCCTTAAAACCCAAAGTGTGTGAAGGAACATGGTTAATCAAATACACAGCTGTGAGAACTGCATCCCCCCAAAAACGCATAGGAATTGAGGCACACACCATAAGTCTCCTTGCCACCTTCACAATATGTCTATTCTTCCTCTTTGCTACCCCATTCTGTTATAGTGTGTATGCACAACTAATTTGATGAATCACACCATGCTCCAAAAAGTATGAGGACAAGTCCTCAAAGTATTTTCTAGCATTATCTGATCTGAAGACTTTAGTCTTCACTCCAAATTGTGTGAGAACCATCTGGTAGAATTGTCGCACCAAAATGGGTATTTCATCATGTGATCTCATCAGGTATATCCAAGAATACTGTGTATGATCATCCACAAACAAGAGAAAATAACAGTAACCACCCATGAAAGAAATGTGGTAAGGACCCCATACATCAATATGAACAATATCAAAAGCAAAGGAACTTCTTTTATTACTTGGTTTAAAATAATGTGTACAATGCTTTCCCAACTGATAGCTTTCACATTCCAAACTAGACAACTAAACAAACTCAAACAACTTTGGAGACAAAAAGCTCAATGAAATGAAAGAAATATGACCCAAATGATTAATTTTTTTTTTTTTTTGATCAATACACTTTCATTAAATCATCAGTAGAAAATTTATAAGAGGAAGACAAACACACTTATCTTCTAAGAGCTACAAAGAGCCTCATAAAAGGAAAAAAAGAAGAAAAAGAGAAAAGAAGAAAAAAAGACGACACTAAAGTTACAGCTTAGCCCAAAACAGTGAATCCCTTTCTGCCCCTTGTTTAGCTAAACCGTCAGCTAGGGAATTAGYCGATCTTTTAACCCAACATGTCTTAACTTCCATCTCCCGCACCAGCCACATGAATTTCCTCCTCTCATTGTTGTACTTCCATAAGCCATTTTGATCTTTAGTTAGCCACCCTATCACCACCTCTTAATCCCCTTCAATTATGAGTTTTTTGATGTTCAACTCCTCAGCTTTCCGGACTCCTTCCATAACTGCAAAGATCTCAGCTCTAAGGGAGTCACCCACTCCAATTAGGCCTGAGAACGTGTCAGAGATGACTCCATTTTCGTCCCTAAAAACACCTCAAATCCCCGATTGCCCCGGATTTCCCCTACTGCATCCATCAAAGTTTAATTTCAAGAATCCACTAGGTGGGGGAGTCCAAGTCACATTCATTACTGCCTTGGTCTGTGTGCAATTTGCAATTTCACCCCACTTCCTAAACATGTCATCCATAGTGTAATCTGTGAATAGTTCCAAATATTTCAGCCACTGTACCGCCCTAATATGTATGATGGCCCTCAGATCTGCTGCTCCTCTTTGGGTTTTTGAGAATATCCTGGAGTTTCTTTCCTCCCACAATGTCCAACATACTGCAGCCCTTAGTCCTCTCCACATTATCCTTCCCTTTTTATCCGCCACCTGAAAAAGGTAGGGGAGAAAAGGCCCTGCAAGTCTGATGGGGGATTCCAACTGCATCCAAATAAGGAGGAAGCCCAATCCCAAATTGACCTCGCAAAGTGGCAAGACACCAGTAGGTGAAAACCAGCCTCCCCATCCGCTTTACATAGAACACACCACTGAGGTGACAAGCAAGTATTGGGTCTCTTCTTTTGGAGTAGATCACCAGTGTTAATTCTTTCCAGATAGGCTTCCCAACAAAAACTACCAACCCTAGGAGGTATTGCTCTGCACCAAACCTCACCAACAGGGAAAGGGGGGAAGGTAGGACAGGTGGACTGACTTAAGACTTTGAAGAACGAAGCACAAGAGAAGATGCCATTGGGGGTAGGTGTCCAAATTCTAGATTCTGCCCTAGTGGGGTCTAAGACAACGTTATCAAGAAGTGCAATAAGGCTCGAAATATTGTCGAGGTCTGAGTCCCTCAAATCCCTTCTTAGACCCAAGTTCCACCCAATTCCAGAAGTGGAAGAGGACGGGGTGATGAAAGACGAGATCGGCTCATTTTTCAAATTAGAAAGAGCATACAAAGAAGGAAATTGATTATGCCAGAGCATAATTTGACTCACCGACTCTGATCGACTACTACTATTGCTACTAACATGATGGCTCTGATGTCTCGGAATCTCATCCAAAAGGTAGATTTCATTCACCTCACGACCACTTTCAATCATCCTCTTTGATTCCAGATCTTGCAAAACATAATTACTAGGAAGAAAGGTCATTGAACAGTTCAAAATTTTTATCAGAGCTTACTGAAAGAAGATTAGTGTGGAGTTTAGGGACATGTAAGACAGAGGATAAAGTAATGTTATTAGTCACTCTAACTCTCCTTTTCATAGCAATGGGAATATGGGAACCATCTGCTGTAGAGATTCTATCTCTACTAGAGCACAATTGGTAAGAACTAAAGAGGGTAGATATATTGGTCATGTGTTCAGATGCTCCTAAGTCTATAATCCAGGGAGGTCCCTCCTTGCTTGAGGTGGATACATGATTTGTAATTGCATATGAACTACCTGTATGAGCAAAGGAAGTAGTATGGTTGTCTCTTGCACTGTTCTGCCCATCTAAAGAACTAGAACTAACTAAACCCTTCTTACTCATAAGCTGTCCATACTTTTCCAATTCAGTCCTCACTACTGTTGTTGCAATGGACTCCAGATCAGCCTCTAGGAGAGGGGTCTTGAAGGGTCTCCTGTAATCGTCACATTTGCATTTCCCTTCTTGTTCTTGACCTGAGTTAGTACGAGATGAGGGTAAAGCTTCCAACAAGTGTCTCTGGTATGCTTAGTCTTCTTGCAATAGTCACACACCATGTCCTTGTCCTCCTTCCTAGCCTCACTACTCCCTTTGTCTCCATTTGGCTTCGATTTAACTATACTAACCATAGCTGACTGATCAATCCTAGGTTGTCTCAACATGACATTCCTCCTTCTCTCCTCCCCAGAGATAAAGGCATAAGCTTGAGAAAGAGTCACACTTTCTCTAGAAAGGAAATGTTGCTTGGTAATGTTGAATTTAGGGTTCGGCCCAACCAAGAACTCAAAAACCCTATTCTTTTCAACCAACCCCTGATAGGTTGTTGCATCCTTAATGCTCTCCCAAACCACAATTTCTAAGTGGTCGATCTCTTGCCAAAGAGTTTTCAGCATGGAGAAATAGGTGGCAAGAGGTCTATCTCCTTGTTTGTACTAATCGCTTGATTCCTTAACTGATAGGCTCTAGCTACATTTTGTTTTTGGGAATAGGTTTCAGCTACTCCATCCCAAATCTCCTTTGCAGTATTAGCCCACTAGGAGGGATTTGTATCAGGTTTCTTCTCCTCCCCAATGATATACCCTAATTTCCCACGAGCACCAATAGCCATCTTGGCTGATTGTGCCCATTCTAGATAATTTGTACCATCAAACTTCACTGTAGTAATAATTCCAGACCAAAAAATATCATTACTACCTCCAACACCCCGGCCCATTTTATCGGTGGGCTTTTGCTCGGTACTCCAACTCTCCATTTTACTTCAAATAGTTCAAAAGTAGAAAATAATTAGGTAGAGAGCCTCCAAGATCAATTTGATCTCACACACAAGGTAACAAACCTTTCTGGAAGAAGAAAACCCTATCCGATGAGAAATCTCTCTCCTCCCACTCTCCCACTAGAGAGAAAAGTGAATCGGCCACTCCAGAAGGCCCAAAAAATTCTAGAAACCTAACCACCCCCTATAGAATACCTAGAGAAGTCCAACAATACCTAAGCGCCCAAGATCAAATCAAAATTGAAGAGTCCAACTTGATTGGGACTCTTCCCCGCACTCTAGTTCTTCTTGATTTTGATGCCAAAACATTGATCACCCTCCTGATGACTAGATCACACCAAAAAATCCAAGAACTCGGCAATCTGAAGTAGATCGATCAACCCTTTATCTCCTCATGCAATCAGCTGATCTAGGACTGCATGGAAAAAACTCCAAGAAACCCTAGCCGAGCTCTGATACCAAGTAGAAAAGTGCTGAAATAAAAAGGTCTGTAAAAAGAAAAGAATATTTCTTGTAGAAGAAGAGAAGAAAGGAGAAAAGGAAGAGAAGAGATTTGAGAGAGAAAAAAGAGCAACAATGCTGGCCGTCCTCTTCACTATTATTTGTAGTCTAAAATAATAAAGAGTACAAAGACCAATATGCCCTTATAGGGTGGCTAACACATAAAACAACATAAAACAATTAAAATAACTGCTCAAAAAGGACCCAACAAGAGTGTCGTGGTCTCCACCTGCAGTCTAAATGGTAAATAATCAAAAACTACCACTAAGACTACACAATTTGTCTAAAACCTCAACAATATTCAAAAGGAGGAAAAAGGGAGGGGGTGTATATGCTAAATAATCTTGAGAAACTTGTGGATCTTCTTAATGAGTGAACAATAAAGTTTGTATGCCTTGAAAAAATAATATAGTGCACCTTGGTTTTAATAGTTGCTATTCTTACCTATATGTTTCCTTTGATATTTAGCTATGCAATATTTGAAGTCCGGTTTAACAAATTCAGTGTGTTCAGAACAGGTAAAAGTTCTTGCCTTAACTGATCATGATACCATGTCTGGCATCCATGAAGCCCTGGAAGCTTCTCACAAGTTTGGCATCAAGATTATTCCAGGCGTTGAGATCAGTACAATATTTTCTCCAAGGTCATTTGTTTGTAATTTATGGCCACCTAGGTTTCCATATTCTTATGAATTATGTGGTGCTCTGATTTATGTAAAACTATCTAATATTTTAGGGCTGCATATAAATATAATGATATTCTGGAAAATCATTTCTGATGTTACAAATTTGGATATGGGTAATTGACAGAGGGGAGTCTGAGGCTGAGGAGCCAGTTCACATCCTTGCATATTACAGCAGCTGTGGCCCCACAAGATTTGAGGAACTAGAGAATTGCTTGGAAAACATAAGAGATGGCCGTTACCTCCGTGCAAAGAATATGGTTTCAAAGCTAAATAACCTCAAGATACCTCTTAAATGGGAGAATGTTGTCAGGATTGCAGGAAATGGAGTGGCTCCTGGAAGGTTGCATGTGGCTCGTGCCATGGTTGAAGTAGGGCATGTGGAGAATCTGAAGCAAGCTTTTGATCGATATCTATATGATGGTGGACCTGCCTACTCTACGTAAGTATTCAAAAGCCTAGGACTCAGATTACATCTTCTGCACGAAGCACCAACTGCTAGCCCTTTCAAAACAAATCACACACACAAAAAAGGAAATCCTGTCAACAGGAAATGAGTTAATGCCAGTTCTTAGAATGATAGATGAAACATAGGTCAAATGATTGGTTCTGTTTCTTCTTGTAGCTCTAATACCAGAAATAGGTTACCAGTGGCATCTAAATTTCTGCTCATCCTACAGTGGTAATGAGCTCCTTGCAGAGGAAACAGTGGAACTGATATGTCGGACAGGAGGTGTGGCAGCTTTAGCTCATCCATGGTCTCTGAAGAACCCTGTTGCAGTTATCAGGAGGTTGAAAGATGCAGGCCTTCATGGGATGGAGGTTTACAGAAGTGATGGAAAATTGGCAGGTACTGTGCATAGTCCAGAAAGGAAATGTTTGTTTTCTTTTGTCCTCTGAAACCTTTGGCAGGAAAATAAGGAATCCAATGGTCTAAATCTTTTCACACATGTCAAAGCAGGCAATTTTTGTATAGGATCTAGATTCCCACTCTTCAGTATCCTATTTGGATCTGATTGCCTGATTCCCATGTTACATGGACAGTACAACCTGGGGGCTGTTTGTGTTGGGGAGATATTTTTAGTGCAAATTCTTGTGTCCAAAACCTTGTCTGTGTTATGCCCTTGTTGTGTCTGTGTAGCATAATGAGCCCATACTTTTGTTTTGTCTGAACTATCAAAGAAGAGCCTGGATCTCTTGCAAGCAAAAACTCTGCACACATAGCATCTAGCTGCACATTAGGAATATAAATTCATGGGGAGATGTTCCCAATGTGCAGCTTGGTTTCCATGCTTGCAGAGTGTGTGCAGAGTTTTTGGTTGCAGGGAATCCTGTCTCTCCCATATGTTTGTTGCAAGATGAACATACTGAGAAGTAGTAGCTTGAGGAACATTAGGTTGTCTCTTTCAGTATAATAATTAGAAATCATGAAACAATGTAATGCAGTTTTATAAAAGATAAATTTAACCGTATTGATGTTGAAAAAATAAATGAACTAAAGGAAAGTCAGCAATGCCATTTGACTGATGATATTGACACTTTAGTATTTGGGTTCATACCTTATGATACTAAAATGCTGTTTTAGAAAATAAGAAAAGAAAAAGAAGCCAATATTGCAATTTAATGGTTGGGGGTTTCTACTATTCCAATATGGGCTAGAATGTCAGGATTGGTGTGCATATTTGTGAAGAAAAAGAAGTCAATATTGCAATTTAATGGTTGGGGGTTTCTACTATTCCGATATGGGCTAAAATGTCAGGATTGGTGTGCATATTTGTGAATCCCTATTAAGATATATGTCATATATCATTATGGTTATGTTGAGACACACAGAAGAGCTTAAGACGTGTGGTATGCATTATACGACTCCCATAGTTTTCAAGGAGCCAAGGCAAGGCTAGGCGATGGGGGGTGCCTTGTCACCTAGTTTCCTAGGCGATGGATTTTTTTAAGTAAAAAACACGTCCTAGGGTAGTTCCCTAGGATCCATAGCTATATTTCCTTAACAATTATCCATAATTTACATAAGAAAAATATAAACTTCATGTTTAAGTATAGAAAATCAACATATTCATGAGAAGAAAAAGAAGAAAGAAAAGAAAATTCAAAAAATATAGGGGCTGAACCCCTATTTTTGTTGTAGGAAAAGAAGAAAAGAAAAGGTGGAAGAAGAAATGTGTTGAGTAGACAAAATTTTAAGTTTTTCCTTACTTTATTGGTTCAGGTTTTGAAGTCTTTGAGGGTTCAATACAGCAGTTAGCAATGTCTGTGTTGATTAAACCCTAATAAATAAGAAAATACTAAAAAGAAATTAGTATATAAACACACAAAATGAACATTTTAGTTTAATTATGTCTATTTTATAATTATGATCTCAAAAAATTAAGAATATAAAAGTATTTTATAACACAATATACAAAACTACTTGGTGATTTGGTGAGGCAAGCCTCGAAGGGTGCCTTGTCGACTAGGCACCTGCCTAGGCCTTGACAACTATTATAACTTCTTATTTAATGCTTGAATAAGTTAAAAAAGCAATACTTTAAGCGGTAATATTAATATTGCAAAAAAGCTTGTCAAAAAATATTAATATTGCGAAAATAAAAATTGGTCATAGATATCTAGATACACTTTTTTTTAATAGAAATGGTATAGTCTTGCATTAAAATGTAAATAAATTCGTGTACAACTACTATTCCATACAAGCTGCCCCTCTAGCACTATACCCCCAAAGTCCCAAACCTCATTTTACAAAAAGATTTTCATGTCCAAAAAAAGTAATTATACTCTGTATTTCTAAAAAGTTTGTTTATAGCTAGCCATGAATACACCTTTCTCCCTTGAATCACCGTTCATTTGTTCTCTTGAGGAATCACCATTGTCAAGTTCTGGTAGTTAGGGAGTTTAAGAAGTCAGTGAAGATGTTCTTGAGGTTGGTGAAGATTGAATTTGAGGTTTTCATCTTCAAAGAAAAGTGGATTAGAAAGAAGTGGATTTTGGTGGCTAGGGAGTTTAAAAAGTTGACTGTGTTTTTGGCAGGAGAAGCAGTTGGTTGGTTTTTGAGTGGAAAGATACTATATAGAGTTAGAGTTTTGAAGGTATGTTGCAGAAAGGAGAGAAAATAGAAAGGGATTTTTTTTTTGATAAAATAGAAAGGGAAGTTTCATTGCTCTTCACAAACACTTTGGAGGTGGGAGAAAACAGTTGGTGTGTTTTCCAAAGGGCACCAAGAGTAGGGGATGGAAGGATGTAGGTATTCTCTTACAAAGTTTTTTTTTTTGGAGAACATGGGTGAGAAGCAACCGTGTTTTCCAAAGGGCACAAAGAGTAGGGGATGGAGGGAATTAGGTATTATCTTACAAAGTTTTTTGGAGAACATAGGAGAGAAACAACTTGTTGAGAAAGAAGCATGGGAGCTAATAGTGAGAAACAGTAGAGAAAAATTTATGGTTAGGGATCTCGGCACAAGTTATGGTGAAGTGGTAGTTGCAGCAAAACTCAACTCTAAAGGAAAGTTGGTCTTCAATTGGCTGAAGGAGAATTGAGGGAAAGATTAAAGTTGATGATTGGAGCAAAATAGATGTTAGTGGTTTAAGATTGAAAGGATTGATGTCTTCAACCCCGCTTGAGGTCCTAGTTCTGATCGAATTAATGGAGGATGGCTTTAATCTAGACTTGACAGTGATAAAAATTCACTCAAAGGCAGGTATGCTCTTGATCTCTAACTAGTTTCCAAGGTTCTAATGCGAAAGATCTGAATGGATGATGTGACTGTGAGAGTCTTGGGTTTGGCTTTTCATCTGTGGAAGCAAGAAATTTTTGAATATTTTGCAGTCATCTGCAGTAGTCGTCTAGTAGGAGTCTTCTTACAAGATTAACATTCTGCTGCAATGTTGCTAGATGGGGTGATACATAATATTCCTATGAAGAGGAAGATTCGTCTTCGAGAAAAATTTTTGAAGATTCCTAGAAGGGGACAAGGGAGGTGGTAGTACATGGTCGTCTCATCGTAGGAAAAAAATGGTCGCAAAACAGTTGTGTGACAGGATTCCTCGAGAAAAAAATGACAGTGGTGATTTAGGGGAGAAAGTAAATGGTGATTAGGAGGAATTTTCAGATTGCAGAGAGCAATCCAAGTCGGTATATCTTCAAAAAGAGGTTGGGAATTTCTTTAGAAGAGATGGAGAGGTTATTTTGGAGGTAGAAGAAGATGGGGGAGAGAAACAGTATTTTCGTTTAAGAATTCAGGGGGGATGGGGGAGGAAGAGACAAGGAGAAGGGGACGGAGCAGAAGTTCTAGGGGACAAGGAGAGGCGTAGCTTTGACACGAAGAGTTCTGAGGAGATGGAGGAAGAGTTGGTTTGGGAAAAGGAGGGGAAGGAAACAAAGAATAAGGGGGTTTAGAGGCTATTAGGTTGAAGGTTTATAAAAGAAAGAGAAGTGTAGAACTAAACCACTGATGAAAGATATGGAGGTAGCTATTTATCAAAAAAATAAAAAAGATATGGAGGTTGCTGAGGAAGAAGATGAATGTGGGAACTCAAGTGAAGATGAAGTAATGATCGATGAGACCCATGAAGTAGGACAAATTGTTGATTTGAAGACTGGTGAATAAAGAAGTGGAGGTAAGTATTTTGCAAGAAAGACCTTAAGAGAAGTGGAAGAAAGGGTGTCTTCATTTGTTTTTGGCTTGGTTTCTTTCTTACTCTTTGGGGCCGGGTGATTTCTCATCACCTGTACCTTCTTCTTATTACTTGAATAATTTTTATTTTTTAATTATCTTCAAAAAAATTCTTTATTCTTCTTACAACTTGATTTTTTTGGTTTGCTGACCTTGTTCCAATTAACTAAATGAAATATTCTCTTCTTTCCACCCTCTCCATAGAAAATCCCTCATTTTTTTTCAATGAGGGCAGTCATGCTTGCTGGGATTGGATACATTGACAGAAGGTACATAGGATGATAGGAAGAGAAGATAATAACACACTTTTTACCCAAGTCACTTTGCCTCCATATGGAAGATACTTGGCTTTCCAGGAAGCCAATCTTCTATCAACTCTCTCCTCTGTTGGGTGGGGTGGTAACATTAGGTTTTTATTTTTTTTTTATTTTTTTTTATTTATTTTTTTGGGGGGGTTGCTTTATGTTTAGAATTGGGTGGTTGTTTCTTCTGTTGTATTTCAGGGTTTATTGGAAGGGGGTGTCTTCATTTGTTTTTGGCTTGGTTTTTTTCTTACTCTTTGGGGCCGGGTGATTTCTCATCACCTGTACCTTCTTATTACTTGAATAATTTTTATTTTTTAATTATCTTCAAAAAAATTCTTTATTCTTCTTACAACTTGATTTTTTTTGGTTTGCAGACCTTGTTCCAATTAACTAAATGAAATCTTTTCTCTTCTTTCCACCCTCTCCATAGAAATTCCCTCATTTTCTTTTCAATGAGGGCAGTCATGCTTGCTGGGATTGGATACATTGACAGAAGGTACATGGGAAGAGAAGATAATAACACACTTTTCACCCAAGTCACTTTGCCTCCATATGGAAGATACTTGGCTTTCCAAGAAGCCAATCTTCTATCAACTCTCTCCACTATTGGTTCCAAAATTTCTTTGAAATTGCAGTTTGTTCCTAAAGGCATGCCCAAGTATTTTAAAGGTAATTTTCCCACCTTGCATCCCCGCTCCTCTGCCCATAGAGCCAACCCTTGGACCTCTCCCACTGCCACCAGTTCACCTTTATGCAAGTTCGCATGCAAACCAGACACTACTTCAAACCATCTGAGGACATCCATGGCATAAAACAACTCCTGTGAGGCATCACAGAATAGGAGTGTATCATATGCATACTGTAGCAAAGCTACTTCCACCCTCTCATTTCCTACTGTACAACCTTCAACCTTCAATAAACCTCCCCAAAACAGCCCTTTTAACCATTCTACTGAGAACTTCCATTGCACAAATGAACAAGACTGGGGAAAGTGGGTGCCCTTGCAGTGTTCCTCTTGGGCTTCCGCTTTTCAGACTGCCACATGCTATCCCGTTCACCAAAATAGATACATAGTTCTTATATGTAAGTAAATGACTACAACTACAGGCTGCAATTCTGACAAAACTAGATACAAAAATATGAGATATATTTTTTTTTTAAAAGGCAAGGCAATATATTATATTGAAACCAACCCAACCAAAATATACAACTAGCCCATGTACATTGAGATACTGTACAGTGGAGATATACAAAACAAAACAAAAAGTATGACTAAATAAACCGAGGTCCAGCATCAAAACAAGAAATAGGCTGGACTCCCTTTAATGGCTTTTGTATACTTATCCATGAACATGATAGCCCATTTGACTTGCTTCTTCTTACATCTATGTCTGTGTGTTTGTTATAAAAAATAAACATGTTACTTTCCCTCCATACTGTCCAAATAATAGCAGGAAGAATACCCCATAAGACTGATGAATCTGAACAAGGCTAGGTTCCATAAGTGGAGAGAGAATCTGTAATGTATAAAGAGGTGATTTGACAATTCTGAACATTCATTGTGTAGAGAACAGGTATCATTATCCAGTATTATTCCTCTTCTGATCAGATGATCTTTTGTCAAACATCTACCAAGTGAGGCTGTCCACACTAAGAAAGCCACCTTAGGTCGGATGCAGAGATTCTGTACTTACGGAACCAAGAAAGCCACCTTAGATGGGATACAGTACTACACCAAACACCCCAACAGATCATAAAAGGCAAAAGATTCCAAAGGAGGATTCTCCCATTTGATAGAAAATCCACCTATTCTCCAAGTAGATAATAATTCAGCCACTGATTGAGGACAACTCCATTGCCTCTGGAAGAGCTTAAGGAAGTGGCTCCATGCTGAAAGGGTAAAAGGGCAATAGATAAGCAAGTGATTAGCTGGCTCAGGTGACTCCCCACAAAGGCAGCAAGCATTGTTGATGTTCATCCCCTTCTTCAACAACATATCCACAGCCTGAATCTGATTCCATCCAGCCAGCCCAAACAAAGAATATAACCTTGGATGGGATCTCAACTCGTCAAATCCCCCATAGAATAACTTGGAACTCTCCAATCAGAATTTTGTAACAATATTTGGTGAAGGAACCTGAATGCTCTCTTAGCCAGATTCAAGACTCTGCTGGGGGTTCAGCTGAATGCCTCCTAATCTCCACGACAGATACCTGTTTGTTATCTAAATTTAGGAACCCACACTGAGAGCCAAACCATTCTGTGAACTCCTTGACAGATACCTGTTTGTTATCTGCAATGTTATGAAAGCTTGGATATACACTGTAAAGAACCCGATCATCACACTAAACATCCAGAAAAAGATATTGTCACCATTTACAGGTTTTATCCGTATATTCCTGTCAAAATCCTGCATCAAATTCATGGATCCCTTCCACAGGGAGGAGCCATGACTGAACAGGCACGAGAGTCTCCTAATCCATAGGGGCAGTACCATACATACTGCCTATCGCCTGCCTCCACAAATGATTGTGTTCTTCCCCAAAATGCCACAACACAAGTGATTTACTTACAAAAATGATTATGACATTTAGTTATTACAACACGAATTTGATATTCTGTAAATTAACTGATGAAGATATTCTTTCCTGTCCAAAGAGCAAATGTCACATGTAACAGCTTCACTGGATTATACACATACATGTCTGTCTATATATTATATATATTTGTTACTTTCCTCTAATGGGCCTTCTCCTTTTTCATCTTGTTAACAGTGTTCAGTGACTTAGCCGACACCTATGATCTTTTGAAGCTTGGAGGATCTGACTTCCATGGTAGAAGAAGTCGTGATGAGTCTGATCTGGGAAGTGTGAATCTACCTGTGCAGGCAGTGCATGAGTTCCTTAGGTTTTCCCGACCTATTTGGTGCAGTGCAATCAAGGACACGCTGCAGCGTTTTGCTGAGGAACCATCGGATTCAAATCTAGAGAGGATTGTGAAGTTTGGAAAGATCAAGTACCTTAAAGTTGGTTCAACCTTGAACTGTGGTAAGGACCTGCTTGACCTCTGCCTCTCATCATGGCTAACAAATGAAGAGAGAGAGACAATTGATGTTGAGGTCCTCGGCTTGAAGCTTTCCCAGACTGTCATAAATCAGAGAGGCATTCAGGTGTCTGTAATGAGTTGATAGTTCTCTTTTCCATTTTCCCTTATTTTTACTTCTGGGGTGACGGTGATGCAGTTTTATCAATATCCTTTTTTGGTGATTCTTGTTTAGTATTATCAGTGGTTTCCCTTTCCTTTCGTCTTTTTTATTTTAATTATTCTTATTTATTTTCAGGGGCCATTATACCCAATCTACGCCTCCCAAGATCCCAGATGGCTGAATCCTTTGTTTAAATGCCAATTTTCTGTTTGATTGGAACCAGGAGTGTTTGGGAGAATATCAAATTGGCGTGTCCTCCATTGGTTCTTAGCTTCCTACATGGCAATGTAGAGATATATTTAGTGCATCACATACTATCAAATTGACGTGTCCTAGAACCATTAGATCTATATCTAGATATAATCATCTGTATAACAATGAGTCAATCATAAAAAATGCTTATTTCTAAATTTGACCATTGGATGGGAATCAGCATAGTAAGGTGATGTCACATTGAATATAAACATTTTAGGTAGCAATATCAATACCAAATATGTACTGCTCAAAACTCTTGTTCAAATGCTTGATGAGCATACCAACCAATCAAACAGAAATTGTTTGAGCCTAAAATTGCAATAGTACCAAGCACAACATAAAAGATCTACTTTTTCAAGCTTTTGGAAGACTGGTTATCACTCCAAAAAATTAATCCTGGTGGCTATACATCATCCAATAATTTGTCATTGAAATTTTATAAAAGTAGGTATCAAACTTTGGATTTGGTGCCAACCTATGTTTGGGACCTGCTTCAATTGAATGGTTTTGATTTGTCATAAAGCAATTAATTTGCCTACATCCAAAACCAGGTGATTCACCCACAAACAAGGTATTTTTGTTATCAGACTACAACATCTAAAAGCCCAAAAAGGATTTTCTTGATCTTTCTCCCATTCTGTTAAAATTAACAGCAGAATCATTGAAGGATTTTCTAAAAAATGCATCTCGCCAATCACCCCCTAAATTAGCTGTACCAGCTGGCTCAGCAGATTCAGACTCTGTGGAGCAACATCTCCTGCACTCACCTGGAACTGAATGTTCCCCCAAACAATGTTGCGTAGAAAGTTTACCAATTACGATACAATGTTCTTTTTGTTTTTTTTTGGCCAAAGAAAGCAGCTTCAATTATCTACTGATAGCTTTTACATGAGGTTGAGAGGCCGAATTGTATCTGATATTTACATGCAAAAAAAGCCAACAGATGAGCTAACTGATTGAGATGTCTATGCACATGAACAAAAGAGATGGATGAATGGGAAGGATGTCATCAATCGCTGTAAATGTGCCCAGTGCAGTTGCTCAATCCATTTGCCTGGTTAAGATTTAGTAGTTAGTAGGTTGATGAGATTTTGGCTATCAGATAGTATCACTATATTAGATAAGCTGATATCTGAAGCTGCTTCAAGGGCACTAAATTAGAGCCCGGATCTCTGTGTCATAGCTCCCATTGGCCCAGCAAGGCTTTCCTACTACGAGTGCAGCATTTGATGATGAAAGCTCGTCCTGCAAGACCTGTGGCTGGATCAAAGGAGCCATCAATGTGTATTAGTACATGATTTATAGGCACTGATGGTGAGCTCTTATAACTGTTGTGGACTAGTTGTAAAATTGCAGACTTTGCTCATAATGTCCTGAGGTGAGCAACATATTCCTTCAAATAGAATTTTGTTGCGAAGCCTCCCAAATAAATATAGCAGCGCCAGCAGATAATTGCCAACCTCTTCCTCGGTAAGAGTAATACTGATTGGGTTTAACCAGTTTTGCATTATCTGATGCAAGGGCCTGGGCGTGAGAATTTCAGGGTTGAGCTTCACACCACACTGCCCATGTAAAGTTACATTTAAAAAATCAAGTGGAAAAAGTTTTCTGTCTACTGTTCACATAAGCAGCATTGTTGATCTTGCTTAGGCAGCCAACTGGAGCATTTGTCCTTGGTTAGGACACCAATCCATAATGCTTTCCAGATGAATATCTGAAAGCAGTAGGGAACCTTTAATTTCCACAACTGTTTCCATTAAAGAAAGGTGTGGGATATTGATGATATTGCATAGCAAGAAATAGCCCTGTATGCTGATTTTACTGTATATATCCTTCAATTGTTGCATTTCCATACAACTTTATTTGAATCCAACTCATCATTGTGGGGACTGATAGAGGAAATGCGGTGGATTGTTGAGGGGAGGAAATAGGTCTGTAGCTGGGGTAGATTCCACCATCACATCGGGATTCTCCCAAAATAAATGTCAAATAAAATAAAATAAAAAAAAGCTACTTAAACCCAAAGTCAACTATCCACATTCAACTATCCATCTTGAATTGTGAGAGTATGAGTAGAATAAGTGAGTAGGAATCTGGCAGAGCATTTATGTTTCAACTTTAATAAAACCTACTTTAATATGATGAAGTTGCTTCCTTGCAAGGTTTCACTGATTGGTGGACAAATGACAAATTCTGATCCTCTTAAAGTTCAGCAAGTAGTTATTGGATCTAGAATTCCATCTTAGTAAGAACAAGACTCTCTCTCTCTCTGTGGGTAGCAAAAGATTCTCATTCTTACGCTCAGTTTGAAAAGAGTACAAATATAAATATGTACTCCTTTCAAACTAAGGCTCAGTTTGGGGAGTGTACAAATACAAAAATATAAAATGCAAAACCCTGCATTTTGTATTATTTTGCATACATTTTTATTATACATGTTTGTATTTATAGTCTTTTCAAAGTGAGCATAATTTAGGGTTTGTTTGGTTCATAATTGAAATTGGAATTGGAATGGCCTATTCCATTCGTTTGGTTCAGACAGGAATGAGAATGAGAATTAGAATTAATAGGAATGAGATTTCATTCCCAAGGGAAAGGCAGGGAATGGTTATTCCCTCAAATGAGAGAATACCATTCTAGAAGGAATGGGAATAAGATTCCAATTCCATTCAACCAAATAGTTGGAATTGGAATAACCTATTCCGATGCTGATTCTAAACCCCTATTCCGATGAACCAAACGAAGCCTTAATTATCAACGTGCAGTTATAAATGACGGTTCAATCCAATGGACTTAAAATAGACCGGACCCATCACTATAAAGTTGCTTATGTCCCCAAAATTTGTTGATTTTCCTAGCTTCTAATGTCAATTTCTAGCCTAAGGTACTTTCATAAAATGCCATCATTTAAAATAATAAGGCGTAATACAGACGTAAATAACGAAGGCCATTTAGTGTCATGACTCATTAGCCATGATTGTCATAGCAAGAGCAAAGAAAGGATATATATGCATGAACATGGTGTTTATGTGTTAACGCAATGAGTTTAAGTATGGTTTGGTTTGACAGAAAGAAAGGGAAAGTTCTTTCCGCCGTTCTGATTGGGAGGTGTAGGGTTGCATTGGAAAGGTCATCTACATGCTTAATTTATAGGCTGATTTTTTAAAAAGAGGCATAAAAATGTCTAAAATGCTCATGCAGTTACTTTTTATAAAAAATATTTATTTTCTAAATTTTATCTTAATCACTTTCTTAAACACTTTTCAATATCTTTTTTGAAATTGATTTGTTTTTCAAATTTACCCTTTATATCAATCACTCAAAGGTGAAGCTACAACTTTAAATCCATTTTTTTTTATTGTTGTTCATGAAACTTGTATCGCTTTTTATCGTAGAAATCAGCCTCAATAGTAATTTTATGGGTATTTTGGACATTTTAGTGGCTCTACTTAAAAAATTCTAAAAGAGGGGGTCTATTTACAACTGTATCAAAAAGTTTAGGAGAGGTAATTGCAATTACTAATTAAATTTCAGGAAAGATTTCAACAATTTACCTTTTTTTCTGCTGCAACCAAAATTCATATTTATGCATTTTGCTTATGATCATCATTATGAATGCTAATTTATTAGATACATAATATATGATAATTATTTTCATCATTGATTAATTTCTAGCGCTAATAGCATGACAGATGATACTGGTTGGCAGATAATGATAAATAATATCCATTTTAATGAAAAATCTAAGGGACAATGACGGTTCAGCCCAGGGTCAGAATTTTTAGGCACAAAGTACATTTGGGGTAGGTGCCAGCTCGGAATTGATGCCAATTTACAGACGGGCATTGATGTATAGAGTGGGGATATTTGACATTTTGATGGAATCTTTATTTGATAGTTTGGGTGGTTTTTTAAATTTAAAGAATAATGAAGGATAAAAGAGTCCTTTTATTGTTTCTGTTAAATTTAATGGAATCTTATTCTGACAGGGGAGGTTTAAGTCCTATTAGAAATTAGAATGGAGGTAATAGTATTTATCTTAAAATTAAGGGGAGGTTTAAGTCTTTTACCCTTGATACTATGATAATTATTTGTTAAATTAAGGCTTTGTTTGCTTTTCGATAAGTTACTTACTCGGGTATACCGGGTAACTGCATTTACCCATGTTCTTTTATTTCCCAAGTAAATAAGACAATGATTGTTTTAGCCATAAAAAATCCATTACTAGAAAGAGCATTTTTGTCCCATCCAAGTGTTGGCAACTTTCTTTGGGTGGGAAGTTATTTACTTGCTTAGGAGATAGATATCAATTAGTAAGTGATACCCAAGAAAATAAATTTTCCCTGTCCCTCACATAAATTTGAGAAAAGAATATAGGTATTTTGGTCAATAGGAACCAAAATCCCATTGACCAACTTTTTGCATCTCAGGATAAAAAATAAGAAAAAAAAGAACACCCCCTAATTGATTTATTTTACTTCCCCCTAATTATTTAATAGGTAGTAGCAGGTAAAATAACACCTCTCACATGCCATTTAAATTAATAAATTATCATAATTACCCTTGCATTGCAGCCATTATAGGTACTAATAACAACAACAATAATAACATTGGAATATTTTTGAGAAAAGGCTCTGAAGCGTTCCTTTGCTATTTTGCATTCCAAAGAGAGGAAAGAGAAACTAATGATGGGGGCTCAATCTATGGATTTGCATTATGCATCTACCACGTGAATTTGGATTAACTGCACTCGATGGTTGTGTGGCGGAACAAGGTTTTTAAAATTGAATCGGACAACGAATCGATTAGGGGTCTATTTCCTGGTTCAAATGGTCTGATTGTTTGAGTTGAATGGACCATTTATTCTGACAAAAAATTAAAAAATAAAAAAAAATGATCAAAACTGTTGGACGATTTGAATGATTTGACCGCCCAGATCAATGATTTGCTGACCAAATCAACGATTTTGACAAAATAACGGTTCTGAGGTAAAATAAAACTAATCATTTGACTGATTCCTGATTTTTCCAGTAAGATTTTAAAAACCATGAATGATAAACTGGTGTGAGGCATTATCATTGGTTTCACAGCCTGTCCAACATCTATTATTTATTTTGAAGCCCTGTCCAACATCTATTGATTTCAGCTAATCCTAACCCTTGTCATATGCTAATTTTAAGTGCAGGAAAAGTGTATAAAAAAGTACAGGAAGATTCCGCTG